TGTTTTAATTGTGTCAAGTCGAGTGACAAGTCGAAATTGTCTGTTTTACTTCAGATTTTGAAACCGATTTTTTTTCGAATTTACTCAGCCCTTCGTGTAATGGATAAATGGTTAAAGAAGTCAGTTGAAGTTGATGACAATGAGTCTTCAGTGAATCAAAATGAAGAAAAGTCAGGTCAATCAAAACGAAGAAAAGTGGTGAGAAAGTATGATTCCAAGTACTTAGAAACGGGATTTACATGGAATGGAGATGAAGAAGATCCACAACCACGATGTATTATTTGTTGTGATCAACTTGCAAACGAGAGCATGCGCCCAAACAAATTGTGTCACCATAGTGAGACGAAGCATCCCGAGTTGAAAGACAAACCCCTCGAATTTTTTGAAAGGATGCTAAGCAAGTTGAAGACAGGACAGAGCGTTATGCAACGTTACACCAAAGTTAATGAAAAATCTTTGTACGTGTTCTACCTGATCAGTTTGAGAATCGCGAAAGCTGGTAAGCCACATACAATTGGAGAGACTTTAGTTATTCCAGCTATAAAAGATACAGTTAAAGTTTTCTTTGGTGATAAGAGTGAACAAGAAATTGAAACAATTCCTATTTCTAATAACACGGTCAGGTCACGCGTAGGATCGATGAAATGTCTCAATGGATAGAAAGCTACACAATGGGCTATTTGTGCTCTGCCTACCACGGGTATCGAAACCCATATTCTAGCGTTGTAAGTTCACGGACATACCGCTGTGCCACTGGGGGACAATCAGATATGATTAAGAAAAAAATATGAGGTTATAGGAGGCCCGGCATGGCCAGGTGGTTAGGCCACTGAACTCGCAATCTGAGGGTCGCGGGTTCGAATTCCCGTCCCACCAAACATGCTCGCCCTTTCAGCTGTGGGGGCGTTATAATGTGATGGTCAATCCCATTATTCGTTGGTAAAAGAATAGCAAAAGAGTAGGCAGTTGGTGGTGATGATTAGATGCCTTCCCTCTAGTCGTATAATGCTAAATTAGGGACAGCTAGCGCAGATAGCCCTCGTGTAGCTTTGCGCGAAATTCAAAACAAACAAACAGGTTTTTGGATGATATTGGTAAACTTAGAAAGCGGAATAAAGACAATAAAAAAACTATGAAAAAGGATATAGATAATGTTTTAGTGATTATAATTGTGAAGAATTGTTAAGTCTAAAAGATACCGAGGTATAAAAATTGATAAGTGTGTTAAATAAAATTGATGGAAAAATATGTTTGAAATTAAAATAAAAAAGGGGTGATTACACAAAATAAATCTTAAATAAATTCTGATATTTTAGATTTAATAAGAGAAAAATATAATTTCTGGTGTAAGTATAAACGTCAGAAGAATGAAATAATAAAGCAAATTACAAAGCAAAAAAGAAATTATATACGATGCTTTATGTGTGTGTGTTTCCTTATAGCAAAGCCACATCGGGCTTGCTGTGTCTGTTTGTTTTTTGAATTTCACGCAAAGCTACACGAGGGCTATCTGCGCTAGCCGTTCCTAATTTAGCAGTGTAAGACTAGAGGGAAGGCGGCTAGTCATCGCCACCCACCGCCAACTCTTAGGCTACTCTTTTACCAACGAATAGTGGGATTGACCGTCACATTATAACGCCCCTACGGCTGAAAAGGCGAGCATGTTTGGTGGGACGGGGATTCGAACCCGCGACCCTCAGATTGCGAGTCGAGCGCCCTAACCACCTGGCCATGCCGGGCCACTTGCTGTGTCAACCGAAGGGAATCGAACCACTGATTTTAGTGTTGTAAAGACTTACTGCTGTACCACCGGAGGACGATGCTTTATAGGAAGGGCTAAAAAGAATTACTACATGGAAAAGTTTGCTCATATTCAGGATAATATGAAAGAAGCTTGTAAATACCTTAATGAATTAATAGATAATCACCTTAATGAAGAATCACTTGATGAGAAAATAAAATGAAACTTTATGAGTATAAACATAAGTATTACAAATTTAGCAAATAATCTTAATAAATAATTTATAAATAAGATAAATACTCTAACACAGTGTTTCTCAAAGCTGGTCCGACGGACCGGTACCGGTCCCCGGAGTACAAATTGCCGGTCCACAACGTCTCTAGGTTTACCTGAATCTAGTCAGCCCCCGACAAAAAGTTTGACTGAACTTAGACTATAGCGCTTAGTCATAGGTCACTGAAAAGTGTAAAGGCCTCGAATTTGTCGAATTTCATTGTATCATCTCATTGCATTATCTCATTCCAAATGATGTACTCACAATAAATTTTTCTTTGTAATTCTAAATTTGATGCTTCTCTGAGTTTTATGTCTTCTCTTTATGAACTTATCCAAAGGACCGGTTTTTCCATCTGAAACAAAGAATTAAGGTGTGCTAAGAATTGAATAAGAAGACAATAATTAACTTCCCTGAAAA